CTGTTTTATCTTACATACGATACTTTTCAATACTTTCTCTGTTCAATGCATTTTCATAGAAAGGATTAAAGTGAAATAGAAACTTTAATTGCATAAAAATTAAAACTTATAAAGGATTGGATTACAAAAATTGCTGCACTAGTAACTTCAATTTAAATATACAGCAAATTTTACAATGTATTTGCATATCTGAAATCTTTTCCATCTAAAAAAGCACTCAAATTTATTTGCAAATTTTAATATTGAAACATTTCAAACTAATATTACCAATAATTTCAATAGCTTGTTTGGATAGATGGGGAAATTTCATCAAAAATTTTTCGCTACACAGAATTACTGCTGCTGCACCATCTGATGTTGGACTGGAAAAAAAACGATCAAATTTAATGTTTTGTTTAAAAATTATTTCTTCTGAAAAAAACGAAACCTTTTCTTTTATCATTTTATCATTTCTCTTTTTTTTTTCAAAATGCAAAGTATAACAATATTATAAACATTACAAAATGGCACTACAATAACATATCATTTTCTTTTTCACAATGATTATTACTTTTATTAATTCAATTATCGTTTAAGCTACCTGCATTCCAGAAGACCCATAAAATCGTGAGTTACACGTGCATTCAGAATCTTGTTCAAACTATATTCCTTTTGAAATTGTAAATTTCTGTAAAAAAAAGAGGAAAAAGAAAAAAAGCAGCGATAGATGTTGTAAGTAACAGATGAAGATGAAGACCTTTAATAATGAATTTTTTTATGGCAATAAAATTAGTGATTTAATTTGAAATTATTTATTCTGTCTGTTGGAAGGGAACTAAGAAATTAGTTTTCATTGAGACTAATTATATTTATTAACAATACTTGTTTATTTGTGCCTCCTTCTCTAATTATTATTAATTGTAAACTAAATATCAGTTTTTGATTTGAAAAGAAAAAAGTTTCATCATTTAAATGAAATATAAAAGCTGTTTTTATCGTGAATCAAATATTGATAAGTAATCAATAGAAAAAATAGCTAACATTGCAAATAGGAATTCCGGTAAATCCGATTTCATAAAGTGCTCGTTGTCCGCAACAAGTACCACCGTATAGATAACTAACCGCTGCTTGTTCCATATCACGATACTGTAGCTTTGCATCCGATAAGGCTTTATTTACTGCAAAACATTTTTATGCATAATGTGATAAATTCAATGATAATAATAATTTGACGAAATAATACAACATTATTTCAGTGATTGGCAATGATCGAATAATATCCCATTTATAGCACCTCGTAAATATGTTAAAGAAATTAGATTTAAGAAAAAAATTCCACAATTCCTTTGTTTAATTCGTAAAATTTCATCAATCAATGGAAAAAAGAAAAAGAAAGTTGACGATTTTGTCAAAGTACACGTAATTTAAAAATGTACCTGCTTCTTTTACCATATCAGGATAATCCCAACTTGGTACTGATCCTAGTTTTGTGAACTGAAATTTAAAAAAGATTTTAATTATGTAATCGCTGAATCGTATTACATATATATATATATATATATATAAACATGAAATAAATAAATTGAAAGAAGATAAAAGATCAATCAAAGTATAATTATATTATAAACCTTATCAATGGTGTTTTCAAATCAATCATTTACAAGAGTAATTACATTAACGAATTTGATAGTAAAATTTACTTTGCTATATTATATCATTATTTTAATTAAAAATTTTCCTAATTAATCCTTTCGTTACTTTCCTTTGTTCTTATAAATATCCGAAAAATCAAAAATTCTTCATTTTTTCCTTATTTTTATTTGCACTTTCATTTAGAAATGTAACATGTCAGTATATCATTTATTAAAAGGATATATTAATGAAATAAATGATATTACTTCCAGACATTTTTCGAAGTTGTAAAAATATAATATTGCGGAAAAAAAATTAACGCAGTATATGAATAAACCTTGGTCATTCCAACACCAATAATATAAACTTTTGGCTTTTCGTTTGATGGTGACATTATTTGCTTTTTGTTTTTGACCAGTCGAATTGATCAATAGCTGAAAATGATCAATATGAGGAAAATTTTTTAGTCTAATATAATAGCTCTTCCTATGTCACTGTTGTTGATATTGATTTTGTGCATGATGACGATGTTGATGATGATATTGACAATGATAAAAATAACGATAACGATAATGATGAAGATGAATTCATGTTCCATCAATCAGTGCCATTGTGTTCCAGCATTGTTTTCAGCATTGTGTCCTCTACTCTCTTCGATAAATATTTTATTACTATCCTCTGCGCTATTACAATCTACTATCTTCTGCGAATAAATAATTTCCTCCTGAACCGAACGAAGAACACCTTTTCAGAATATTCGTCTGTGCCTATGAACAAATCCTTCCAAATCAAATTATTTTATTTTCAATTTTTCCTACACAATTTTTCCTACAAATTTAAAACCACTCATAACACTTTTTTTTTTCGATTTCGCCGACAGAAGCTGGTGGGTGTGTTTGGGATATTTGAGAGAACATGATCCACATCGTGTTTACAACCTACTGTCAAAATCATTATCTAATTGATTGGGCGGAATAGCTGATGCAGCTCTAACCGACAACAATCCAGAATGACAAATTAATTCCTTGATAACGGATTCACTAATGACATCAGTAAAGTTTTCTGAGAAGTACTCATTGCCCGAGTCATCTTGTTGACCTAATGAAGCTTGACCGGCAATGCGATGGTTTCGTATGTCTACTAAAGTATGTCCCAAATGCGGATTTCGTTCCACTCGGCCTAAAGTTATCTTATAAAATCAAACGAAGTGAGTGGTCACCGACCGTTTGATTCCATAGGTCGAATTAGATACTTTTTTTCACGCCATTTGTTTAAAATGTTTTTTAGTCATTTGTTTAAAAAACTTGCATTAAAAAATCGACAAAAACATAGAAAAGAATACAATAGAATATTCGTTCCATTATTGTGATGACGTTATTGTCATCATTGTCAACACCATTTAAATTCATTGGACTGTAAGGAGCTAATTGTTTGAATTCTGTCACTCCGTTCATTGTCATATCAGTAACTGCCAAATACTAACTGTGGTTAACGACAGGCAGCTGTCTACTTTGGTTAGAAAAACATTGCAGTAAGTATTGAGTTTTGTATTGCACTTCATTGCCGTTAATGTTTTACAACACATTTTTATGTGAACATACACGCTGAAAACTTCTTTTGCTATATATAAGCTTTGCAAAACTAACCTCTAACTCCGTGGCATCGTTTCTTGTGCTCTCCAAGTCCTTTCTTAAAAGAAAGGAAAGAGCCACAGATTTCACACAGAAGTTTAGGTTGATGTTTCTCGTAATGCTGTTGAAGTCCCTTTGAAGTATGGAATTTCCTTCCACATGTGGACCAAGTACACTTATATAAGCCTTCTTCCTTGTGCGTTCCATAATGTTTTAAATATTCCTTATGCGTCAGCGTAGTCACATTACAATAACGACATTTATGCTTCTGTTTGACTGAAAAACTGATATGATTTTTTGTGTTTACAAATACCATATTATATGCTAATAATGAAACTGCTGATCTTCCGTTGAGCATGGAATGAGCATTTCTTACCTGGACTATTTTGAACTGAAGCGATGCATAACAGAAGATTGAACCAAATAATATATGCCATCGATACAGTGAAGAACAACGTGTAGTACAAAATTTTTGAAATGGCAGAAATGCTGGAAAAGAAGCTTTTTATTTCAGATTGGTTGGAATTAAACGACCAAAGGTTCAAACAGTTTTTAATTTATGCTATTCACTTTATTTTTTATATTTCTCTCTTTTGCATTCTCATTTTCTGATCTCTGAACTGGCAGTTGATGTAATTTTTTTTTTTTTGGACTATTATGAAATAGTGAAAGCTACTAGGAAATAGTGAAAGCTTGAATG